GGACCTCTGATGGTCTGCTGTGGACCTCTGATGGTCTGCTGTGGACCTCTGATGGTCTGCTGTGGACCTCTGATGGTCTGATGTGGACCTCTGATGGTCTGATGTGGACATTTTTGTCCCATGTTTAGTGAAATGTTTAGTTTTCATTTCTGAGCCCACATGTTTCCTCCTCTGAGGATTCTCACAGTTTATTCTTGTTTTTATAAACTGCCTGACCAAACARAAAGCTGTCTCCAGAACAAAGGTCACATGTTTAGTTTGATCTGTGGTTTTGTTTGGATCAGCTTCTCCACTGTCACCAGATTTATTTCATCCAGTTTTGCATTAATTCTTCACCAAGATCCTGCATTGGTGATGGTGAGTCTGACCTTCTGCAGCACATCCCAAAGATTCTCCGTGGACTCTGTGGAGCTGATCCATGTGTGGAAATGAACCACTCTTTCACAATAAGAGCCCCGGTTAGATCCAGGTGGACACTTGGTTTTGGCCGGGCAGTGTATTTCCTGATACTTTAAAGAATCTGAAGCTGATGTACTGAAGGAAAACTAATAATTTATGATGACATCATCATCGTCCCAGATGTGTTTAAATATTTATTTKAATGATGATTTGTGACTTTCTAATTGTTCTTTATCTCCTCTGTGGTTTCTCTATGAAGAATCTGTTTGATGAWGATTTGTAAACTGATCAGATGTATTGATTAACTCCAGACTTTTTATTGATCCTTCGTGTTTCTCATCAGTAAATTTGAACTGATCATAAAGTGRCTGAAGTTTAGTTCGACATTATTTGAATGTGAAAACAGGAAGTTTAAACCTGACAGAAGTCTTTGAAGTTTCTTTGTGCTGAATAGGAACAAGTCTGGTCTTTGGGAGACTTTGCAGATCTGAATATAAACCCTGACGTCTCGCTTCATACTTTCATTTGAAAAGTGGTTTATTTTGACACAAAGTAGTAGAGACCTCCTCATCTGTAATAAAAAGACCTTTGCAGCTGTGTGTTTGTTGTTTTTACTCAAAAACTGTGAGAAAGTTTGGTAGCTGATGTGAAAGTTTGTGTGCTGGTGGTTTTATTGGAGCACGATGAAGACCTTTGATCAGGATCAGCAGAGGAACCCGGGCTGTGGGATCCTCGTAGAACAGTTTTATGTTAGTTGTTTATTAGATTGATTCAGAACAAAGATCTGACCCATCAGTTGTTAACATTTTGTAGTTTTTTGTGTAGTTTCTCCTGAAGGTGAAACCTTCACAGATGTGATTTTCTTCTCTCTGAGTCTGAGGAGCCTCAGGAGACCGTTTCGGATCTCTTTGGTCCGGACGCCGTAGATGATGGGATTGACCGTCGCCGGGATCAGGATGTACACGACGCCCATCAGGGTGTTGACGTCCGTCGCTATGGGGATGTTCAGGTTGTGAGACAGGAAGGTGACGCTGCCCACCAGGTAGAAACACATGATGACCATCAGGTGAGTGCTGCAGGTGTGCAACGCCTTCAGGCGGTCCTCGCCAGCTGCTGCCGCCCTCAGGACCACGCTGAGGATCTTCATGTAGGAGAAGAAAATGACGGGGATGTCCACTCCAACAAAGCAGATGATTACAGCCAGGCCCGCTGCCTGGTTCCTCTTTGTGCTGCCGCAGGCCAGGCTGACCAGCGCCATGTGGTCGCAGTAACARTGTTGGATGGTGCTGGAGCCGCAGAACCTCAGTGAACCTGCCAACGCCACCAGAGTGGCCATGATGGAGACGCTGCGCACCAGCATGAAGAGCAGMAGCTTCAGCAGCGTGGACGAGGTCACCATCTCCGCATAGCGGAGCGGCTCACAGATCGCCACGTAGCGATCCAGGGCCATCGCCAGCAGCAGCGTGGACTCCACCGAGGACAGGAAGTGAGTGAAGAACATCTGGATCAGGCAGCCGGCCAATGAGATGCGGTTCCAGTCCAACATCAGGCCGAGCAGCATGTTGGGAATGATGGTGGTGACCACGAGGACGTCCACCACGCACAGGGCGCAGATGAGGAAGTACATGGGGCCGTGCAGGCGCCGCTCCCTGCAGACCACCAGCACCAGCAGGAAGTTACCCAGCAGCACCGACAGGTAGGAGAAGAAGACGAGCAGCGCCAGCAGGTGGCGGTGTTCCCACAGCGCAGGAAAACCTCTAAACACAAAGCTGGTGTGGGAGGAGTTTCTGCTGGGCGGAGCCTCCAGCATGGCTCACCTGGAAACACCTGTCAGTCAGCTCTTTAACCAAGACAAGCAGCAGCGCCCCCTGCTGGCTGCAGCTCAAAGAACTAAAACCTGTTTGTTCATTAACAGAAACTTTCATTGATTTTTAAGAACAACCAATAAATAAATAAATAAACAAATAAATAAATAAAAACCTGCAGAATCTAAAGAAAATCACAATTTGTCAAAACCAAAAAGTCTACAGGTGAATAAAATCAATTTCATTATTGAGATTTTACCAAAAAACTTCATCTTACAGGTAAAAAACATTTGAACTTCCTGAACANCAAACTCACGATGCCTTCACTGACACTCAGAGACAATAACTGTGTTGTGTTTCATGAGCAGCCTGAGGGAAGGAGCCAACAGGGAGATCCTCGGCATCATCGTGTCTTACAAAGTCAAAGTGAAACTGGTCGTGTCACGAGGCGGGTCAGTATCTTTAAATCTGACACATAATAAACTTGATGTTTTCAGGTTGACCTGTGACCTTTAGGATCAACCACTAATACAGTTTTACTACTCATCCCCTTTTTATTCATTTATTTATTTTATTGACCTAAAACTTGAGAATAAAATGGACTTTTATTTCATTTAAAAGTATTTAAAAAGTTCACACAAAATACTGATTTATAAAAGGTATATTAGGCTCTAACAAGTTCTCAATGTACTGACTAATTTCTAATTGATGTTTAATGTGAAGATTTTAAAAATCTACCCTCTAAAATTCATTTAAAAGGATCAGATTAGGGTTTGGATCAGAGATTTTGATTAGAGGTTTAAATCAGGGGTCTATATCAGGGGTTTAGGATTAGAGGTTAGGAACTGCAGTCCTGGATCAGGACTGTAAACTGAAGCAGTTAAACCTCAGACATCTGGATAATAAATTCTGAGGATCTTTATAGAACCGTTCCCGGGTCATTCAGAACCTGTGAGCAGACTTTTAGTGACTGCATCAATAGAACTGATGKATTTGACGAGGCTCTGAGGCTCACGGTGTTAAATATTTATTGATTTCAGGCTCCTCGGAGATCTGGCTGCCAGGTAACCTTTCACGCTCCGCCACAGATGAAAACCACGTGCTGAGATTTACAAAGGTCACCTGAACGTCTCACAGCATTACTGCCGGTGGCAGAAATACACCTGTTTAACCTGTTTTTTTATGACTTGTGATGAATCTGTTTTTCAGTGACGTCTCTGTTGAGCTGCCGTTCACACTAATGCACCCCAAACCTCTGGAGGAGTCCGTTTACAGAGACGGTGAGTCCTCATCCTTCTTCTACATCCTGCTGAGATGAAATAATCCTAACATTAAAAGTTTCTGGATTAGACAGGCTCATGTTAGATAAGATAGAGTGAAACAGTGAGACAGAGTGAGACAGTGATGAAATGTGAACGAGTGAGAGAGTGATGAAAAGCGAAAGAGCAATAAAGATTGAGTGACAGAGACAGCAAGGAAACAATGAAGAGTGAGACATGGATGAAATAAGGAAGAGTGAAATGAAGTGACACACCAATGGAGTGAGATTGTAATGAAACAGTGATAAAGAGTGAGATGATGAGGAAACTGGTGAAAAGTGGGAAACCGATGAAATGTGGACGCATTATGAAAAGTGAGTAATAAAGAGTGTAACAGTAATGAAAAGTGTGATAAAGTGAGGTGATGATAAGTGAAAGAGTGATATGTTATGACGAGCGAGACTGAGAAAGAGATGATGAATGAAACAATGATAATGTGAAGAATGAACTTGTGATGGAGAGTGGAGCATTGATGAAGAGTGAAACAGTAACAAAACAGTGATAGAGTGAGACAGTGAAGCGTGATAAAGAGTGAGAAAGAGAAGTGTAATAAAGAGTGAGACAGAGGAGTGTAATAGAGAGTGAGACAGTGATGTTTTGTGCTGTTTCTGACCCTCCTCTTGTCTCCCACAGCTCCAGATGAAGCTCCGATCGACACAAACCTGATTGAGTTTGACACAAAGTAAGCAGCTGTCTTCTCTGTCCTTCCTCCTGTTTCTCCTCTTCATCAGCTGCGCTCTGATTGGCTGCTTCGTGTTGGGCGCTGGCAGCAGGGAGGCTTTCCTCTCCCTTCTCTGCCTGTCGGAACATTAACGGCGATGAAGCCRTCTCCTGAGCCTCAGCCTTAATGCATCTTAATGTGTGCTGCTGAGAGAGCTGCAGGAAATGAGCTTTAAACTGGAAACTCTTCCTGCCGTCAGCAGCCACTTTGCATTTTACAGATTATCATCATGCCTGAAACTCAACCACTACATCTTCATTCAGCAGCTGCACACATTAAACACACAACATTTAGTTTCCATTCAGACTCTTTCACTAAATCCAGTTTCTCTTTCCAGCTAAAGGGATTTTTATTTTCTGAACTCACTGATCAGAGAGTTTTTAGCTCTAAAAGGGCTGAAGTTATGGTTATACTGGTTACATGTATCTACAACCCCAGTTCTTAAAAGTCTGGTTGTGTCAAAACAGAAGACAGTGATTTATGAATCTCATAAATCATTACTGGTTCTGTTGACTCACCACTGGTTCTGTTGTTCCACCTCTGGTTCTGTTGTTCTACTACTGGTTCTGTTGACTCACCACTGGTTCTGTTGTTCCACCACTGATTCTACTGACTCACCACTGGTTTTGTTGACTCACCACTGGTTCTGTTGTTCCACTACTGGTTCTTTTGACTCACCACTGGTTCTACTGACTTACTACTGGTTCTGTTGTTCCACTACTGGTTCTGTTGACTCAACACTGGTTCTGTTGCTCCACCACTGGTTCTGTTGACTCACCACTGGTACTGTTGACTCACCACTGGTTCTGTTGTTCCACCACTGGTTCTGTTGACTCACCACTGGTTCTGTTGTTCCACCACTGGTTCTGTTGACTCACCACTGGTTCTGTTGACTCACTACTGGTTCTGTTGACTCACTACTGGTTCTGTTGTTTGCATCTGTTAGACTCTGGTTCCTGTCCTCTGCTGTTCTAATTTCCATCACTTCCTGCTTCCTTCAGTGATGATGACATCATTTTTGAGGACTTCGCCCGCCAGCGGCTGATTGGAGCAAAGGATGAGAAAGAGGAGGAGGAGGAACCTGTAGATTCGCCACAGCTGAACGACAGATAAAGGCCAGGGGCGTCGCCGCCGTTGTTTAGCTGCTGTTTGTAGTGTGGAGAAGGCAGAAGTTCACCTGTAGGCCTGACCTCAGCCTGGACACCTTCAGACACTCGGCGGGGCCGTGTTTCTGTGTTTGTTCATGTCCGTCCTCTCTCTCTGCGTCCTGCAGGGTGTAGAACCACAGCCTCGTGTTTTCAGGCCGAGCAGCGGCGGGGACTCGGAGCGGACCTGAGGGCGACAGCTGGCTCTGGCTTCCGATGTCTCTTTGTTCTTCATGTTTCTGTTAGGAGTAGAGCAGGTGTCACACGCTCTGCAGATTAGCCTCAGTATTGTGTGTCAAATGTTCCTCATAAACAACAACACTGCCAACTTTAGGTGAACAGCTGTCCACCATGGAAGCAGAGACATGGACGTCTGCAGGATGGACCGACTCTTCAGAAGGACGAGGAACCTGTGCATGAAATATATCTGTACCTTTAACTTTATCAGTGTCACGAATAGTCAGCATTTAATCAGCAGAAGCTCTGATTGGTTGTTTAATGTTGATCTTTTCCCAAATMATCATTGGTGTTCAAACAAGTCTTCAGTCCTTCCTAGTTCCACATCTCCAGTAAGAGCAGAAAATGTTCAGATGTTGCTGGAGGTCTTTCAAAATTTAGGTTCAACATTCACGCTTTCTCTGAAATCTGCAGGGCTTTAAAGGTCTGNTCAGCTGTCCTGACTCAGGTCTGTCTTCAGCTGTCCTGACTCAGGTCTGTCTTCAGCTGTCCTGACTCAGGTCTGTCTTCAGCTGTCCTGACTCAGGTCTGTCTTTGTGTGTGTTTTCAGGGTCTTTAAGAAAGCCAGTCCAAATGGGAAGGTGAGTCTGTGGGTTTCAGGTGGTTTTATTGCAGCACCCTGATGGGTTTCATATATTATTCATCCACATGAATATTAAAACTGGTTTTTAAATAAGTCACATTTTCTRCAGGGTGGAAACAATAAAACCAGGTGCAGGTTTCTGCAGTCTGGACTCAGCTGTAAAGAAAATCTGAACTGAAAGTTTATTTTGTCCTCAGCTCACCGTTTATCTTGGGAAGAGAGACTTTGTGGACCATGTGGACCTGGTAGAGCCCGTCGGTGAGGAAATATTTGACGTAATTCAGTGAAATAAATGATTGTTTTGACTCTCTTCTCATCTTTCTGCAGATGGTGTTGTTCTGATTGATCCAGAGTACCTGAAAGAGAGGAAAGGTGAGAAACCTGAAAAATGAGTTGTCCCGGTGAGAGTCTTAGTGTTGAGGCAACAGTCCAAGGTGTACCACAGGGAAGAGTCCTCGGTCCTCTGACTTTTATATTACAACTTGCTTAAGTCTAAGGATTGTGTTCTTARTCAGCAACATGATTTATAAAAGTTTTTTTATTGTTTAACAGAAGTTTGTTTTTGTTTTTCATTGCCAGTTTTTGTGACTCTGACTTGTGCGTTTCGCTACGGTCGAGAGGATCTAGATGTTCTKGGTCTGACATTTCGTAAGGACCTGTTTGTGGCAAACATCCAGGCATTTCCTCCACTGCCTGAAGAGAAGAAGAGCCTGACTCGTCTTCAGGAACGCCTCATTAAAAAACTGGGAGAACATGCATACCCGTTCACCTTTGAGGTACTGATGATGATGCTCATCAAGATAATCATGCAAGAACATTTTCTTATTCTTAAATTTCTCTTGCTTTTGTTCTTACGAATCATGCTCCAGGAACAACTACCTTCTTCCACCTTAGCTCAAAGCTGAACTTCATCAACACAACAGCACAGATTTTATCCACCATTTTTTAATTTTCATAAAATACAAACTAGTGTTTTTAAATCTTCTAAAAGAAAAAACACTTTAATATAAAAGAGAAGGTCTGCTGTCATGATCAGAAAATTTATCTCCCTCGATTCATAAAACTTTCAAATACATTGAACTGTTTCATTGTTGTATTTGCAGATACCTCTGAACCTGCCGTGCTCTGTCACCCTGCAGCCTGGACCGGAGGATACYGGGAAGGTTTGCTCCTTCTTTTCCCTGCAGGACTTTCACTGCAATGTGTTTGTCTGGTTTAGGTTTGGTTTGAACCGAATGTGTTGCTGTTCTCAGGCCTGTGGGGTCGACTTTGAGGTGAAAGCTTTCTGCGCAGAAAATCTGGAAGAAAAGATCCACAAAAGGTAAAAGTGAGTTAGCTGCACTCCGAGCCTCACTGTGGCAGAAAGAAAGACATGAATTATGAATGAAAGTGAGATCAGTGCAGCAGCAGCAGCAGAAAGAGGACTGGGCTGAATCTCAACTGGAACATCATCAATCAGTCTTCTGTTGCTGCAGGAATTCAGTGCGTCTGGTGATCAGGAAGGTACAGTACGCTCCGGAGAAACCTGGTCCTCAGCCCACAGCCGAGACCACCAGACAGTTCCTGATGTCAGACAAACCTCTGCACCTGGAGGCCTCYCTGGACAAGGAGGTCAGACCTGAGATCCCAAAACACACCTGAACATCAGAGCATCTGCAGCTGCTGAAGGACATCAAGTCTCTGTTTCCTAAAATCATATAAATTAAAAAAACTCAACTGGATGCGCTTTAATTCTTTAAATGATCTCTAATTTATTTTAAATGTATTCATGTCCCAAACTGACAGAACTAAAAATAACAACAAAACATCCGATTATTTTTATGACCCTGAACATCAGGAGCGTTAGAGACGGACTGAAACTTGAGTCTGACTTCAGTCTGCAGCAGATCTGATGTTTTCTGTTTCACCTCAGATTTATTACCATGGAGAGCCCATCAGTGTCAACGTTCACGTCACCAACAACACCAACAAGACTGTGAAGAAGATGAAAATCTCAGGTACTGCTTCCTGTGTGTGTGTGTGTGTGTGTGTGTGTGTGTGTGTGTGTGTGTGTGTGTGTGTGTGT